TCATACAACAGTTTAATTGTTTAGTTAACTTGCTTTAAGAAATATTTATATAATAATAAATAAGACACAGACCTTAGAGACTCTGGTTAACTGTAAAGAAGTGAAAGACTACATCCCCACAGTTCCTGATCTAAGCAAACTGATTAGTCGGTGACAGCTTCATCAACTGCAATTCACAGTGATTGATTTTTAAATTTTACTACTACTTGCTTGTTTTCTTATTTACTTATTCATTTACTTGTTTATTGTTTATTCACACACATCTGTACTTTTAAAAGAGGGTTAAATGTTAACTAATTGTTATCAAAGTGATTTTTGCCAATTCTTACGTTATGTTGGTTTAAATTATTTTAAAATACATGCTTGAAATCCCATTTTTATTCTGGAAATTTGTGCCATTTATAGTATGGATATTGGTGGAAATGAATTTTTTTTTTTAAAGATTTATTTATTTGTGCATACAGAGCTGAGGTACAGGCCAGAGGCTCAGGGGCAGCGAAAGGCTTCACCAGAGTGGGGAGCAGAACAGGCAGATCTACGAAGTACACTGCTGAGAGGAGCAGCGGGCGGGTCGGGAGAGGTCTGCCACGCCATGTGGTCACCTCCGGGGCAGGCAGGAATCGACCTCATGCGGAAGTGGCTTTAGCTTCTCAGTGCTGCGCTTTAACCGGCTGCGCCACCAGGGAGGGCCAGAAATGAATTTTTAAATGTGGTTGTAGTGATTCCTTGGTACATTTATTAGTGATGAAATTTAGCACATTGTTTTCAGCTAGTTTAAATTGATCTTAAAAGAAACAGAAACTTGTTGCTTTGATCACAGAATTCAAATAACTCTGAAATGCCTCTAGGCTATTATCAATTAACTTGTTTATGAAAGATAATTCCACTTGATTGTATAGTTTATACCCTAAGGGGAAAACAATATTAAGTTCAGTTTTTACTAGATTATGCCATCTTTATGGAGTCATCCTGTTTTTGAATTGTTTCCATGCTGTGCAATATGGCTGAATAAAGAAAGGGTATTTATTCAGTGGAGGACTTAGTCAAATGAGTAAGGACTTAAAGACTTTTTTGGCAATATGAAAGAATATTTAAAAATCACTGACCTGGGCCCTCCCTGGTGACACAACGGGTTAAAGCACAGCACTGTAAAGCTATCACAGCCTCTGCAGCACGAGTTCGGTCCCCAGCCAAAGAGATGGCCCCACATAGTGTGGCAGACCTCTCCTGGCCCAGCCTGCTCCCCTCAGCAGTGTACTTCGTGGATCTGCCTGTTCTTCTCCCCACTCTGTCTCCAGTGAATCTTCTTATCCCTCTCCACCCTCTGCCCCCACCCCCACATCTCTGACCTGTACCCCACTCCTGTGCATATAAATAAATAAATATTTAAAAAGAAAAAAAAAACTTAAAAAAAAAAAAAACCACTGACCTTCCTCTGTCTATATAAATGAAGGATAGTGGGGCGCAGAGGAGGAGGGGAACCCCTTCCTCTCTATGGTAAAATATTTGGGATTAGAATTTTAGTTTTCTTTTTAAATGAAACCTGTTAAAATTAGTTTCCTATTCAAGTTTTTCTTTGACTACATTCTGGTGATGCTATAAAATTACCATAATAGAATAAGTTGTTTATTTCAAAAACATAAAATGATCTCTCTCAATGAAAATGTATCTTTTAAGAAAACTTAGTGAAGATCTAGTTTGTACAAAGCATGTAAAATAAGTGGAACCATGAGTATTTGGTTTACTCAATTTTTTAATTTGTTTCATGTATATAGAATGGCCTTATTACATTTTAAGTATTTATATAGGTCAGAATGCCATTATTAAAAAACATAATTTCTAAGCAGAGTACTTGTTACATGTAACAAGTATCATAGCTGTGTGCCACAAAAACCACCAAAGAATTTTTACTCTGTGTAACACAGAAAGCTGTTTCTTCTTGATTGCTTCAGCCCCATTTCTTCAGGAATACAAAATATAATGAGCTTGTTTTTTAACTAAACTCTAGTATTTACCTCTGACATCTCTGAATGAGAACAGATACAAAAGACATGCTTTTGTAGGAATATAGATACCTTGGTGGTGGTGTAACATACACATCTGCAGTGATGTGATCTTGTACCTCTAAATCACATACAGTGTTGTAAACTATTGTTGCCTAAAAGAAAAAAGGGAGAGAGGTGTTATTATTATCTTGAAATCTTGCAGAAAGCAGATAATGTTAATAACAATGAAGTATAATATCTGACTGATTTTCTGATGATTTATGTGAAGCTAGGTTTATATGTGCTTAGCTTCATATGTTTACATTCCTTCTAGAGAGATTGAGTTTAGTTAGATAGAAGTATATTTCCTATAGAATAGTTTTTGTCTTGCTTTAAACACTCTTCACAGTTATATGTGTACTACTTAAGATAATTGCCTGTCTCTTTGAAAATGGGTTTTTGCTGCTGTTTGGTATAGTAGTTAACACTTCAGTTTTTAAATGTTTAGCTGTTTGTTTTAATTATAGATTCACATATACTTCTACATATACTTCTCCAGTGGTAGCATTTTATAAAACTAGAACTGTCACAATCAAAATACTGATACTAATATACTTTATAGCTTATTTTTCACAAGGATCCCTCACATTGTCCTTTCACAGCCATACTCACTTTCCTCCTACAACCCTCATTAACTTCTGGCAACCATGAATCTGTTCTACACTTCTATAATTTTGTCATTTCAAGGTGGTATATGGAATCATACAGTATGTGACCTTTTAAGGTTGCATATTTTTGCATGTTACCCTGGAGACTCATCCAAGTTATTGCTTGTATTGACAGCTCATTTCATTTTATTGCTGAAGGGTTAGTAGCCCATAGATTTAATATTTTAGTTTAACTTTGTATCCATTGAAGGAGCACATGGGTTGTTAACATTTTTTGGCTATTATATGTAAAGTTGCTGTAAATGTTTGTGTATAAGTTTTTGTGGGGATGTAACTTTTTATTTCTCCAAGGTCAGTGCCCAAGAGTGCAATTACTGGGCCATATGGTAGCCACATGTTTCGTTTTTAGCTGGTTTTAAAACTGTTTTCCAGAATGACTATACCATCTCACGGTCCCACTAGTATTGTATTGAATTATCTATTTTCTCCATATTACCAGTATTTGTCACTTTTTTATTTTAGTCATTTTTTTTAAGATTTATGTATTTATTCATACAGAACTGGGATACAGGCCAGAGATGTGGAAGGTGAGAGGATTCACCAGGGACAGAGCGGGGAGCAGAACAGGCAGATGGACGAAGTACACTGCTGAGGGGAGTAGCGGGAGGGCCAGGAGAGGTCTGCCACACCATGTAGATCTCCTCTAGGGCAGGCGGGGATCAAACTCATGCGGAAGTGGCTTAAGCTTCTCAGTGCAGTGCTTTAACCCACTGCACCACCTCGGAGGGCCCTATTTTAGTCATTTTGATGTGGAGGTATCTCATGTGGTTTTAATTTGTATCCCCCTCATGGCTAATGATATTAAGATTTTCTTCCATGTGTATATTTTCATATATCGAATCTGGTGAAATGTCTTTTGCTCAATTCTAGCTTATTTTTTTTACCTGTAGACTTTTGAGAATTTTTATATATTATAGAAACTAATCAAATACATGGTTGCAAATATTTTTCCCAGTGTGTAATTTATATTTTCTTCTTCCCAGAATCAGTTTTCTTTTATCTTTTCACTTTTTTCCTTTTCTTTTTTAAATAGCATTGATTTACATTGTATAATATTAAAGGGAATAGGTTCACACATCCTCAGATGTGTATCACCACACTATATCCACCACCAAGGCCCACTTAGTTTTTTACCACAGGCCATTGGGCTCACTCTCCTCTTTGTTTCTACTCTCACCTTACCCCATTTAATAGTCTCAATTATGTAGATCTATGTCTAGGGTTTGATTAGGTTTAGTTTTGTTAATTCCTTTGTTTTGCTTCTTTATATTCCACATATGAGTAAAATTATCAGGTAATTCTTTTTCATTCCTAATTATTTATCATAATCCCCTCTGGTTCCATCCATGTTGTTGCAAATGGCAAACGTTTGCCTTTTATGGCTGCATAGTATTCCACTGTTCACAAAGCAAAAGTTTTTATTTTGATGAGGTCATTAAAATAATTTAGCAATTTTTTTCTTTTTCTAGATTGTACATTTTTTTGTTAAAGGAAGAACTCTATGCTTAACTCTAGATCTCAAAGTCTTTCTCTTCTTTACCTTAAAGTTTTATAATTTTATGTTTTACATTTAAAACTATGGTCCACTTTAAGTTAATTTTTCTATATATGACCTCAGTAAAGTTTCATCTCTTTGCCTGTGGGTATCCAATTGTCTCAGCAACAATTGCTGAAAAGGTGAATTTGAATTTCTTTTTTTGTATCTTTGTCAAAAATCATAATTGTTTAGTGGGTACAAGGTTTTCTTTTGGGGGAGTGATTAAAATATTCAGAACTAGCAAAACTAGGTGACTAAGCACTGTGTTACTATACCATTGAATTGTATGCTTTAAAATGGTTAGTTTTATGTTATATGAATTTCATCTCAATTAAAAAAGAATCATTTCTTAGTCACCACAAGAGCTTATTATGAGATTTAAATGAGGGGGGAAATTTTGGCATATCTGTGGGGCTCTTCCTTGATTCCCTATTCTGTTTCATTGATCCTTGTGTCTCTCTGCCAGTACTTTACAGTTTTAATAACCGTAGTTATAACAGCACAACTTTAATCATGTGTATCTTCCATGATACATGATTAAATAAATTTCAACTAAAGTACAACAAAAATTATATGTGGGTAAGTTAAATTTCAGAATCTAAAATTTCCTCCAGGTGTTTTTAGAGATCCAAGTATTCTATTTACGTAAGTGGTATAAAAGTTAACTATCTATAAAATGAAGGAAAATGAGGTCTAAATTTTAAATGTACTTTTAATAATTCCAAATTTTGAAATTTCTTTTATTTGTAGCTCAGATCGTCTGATAGAAGAGACAATAAGGTAGGAATTTTTTTGTTTTGTTTTGCTTTATTGTGATCATTTTTTGTTTGTATATGAACATATCAGATTTACTCTGTAGTGTTTAAAGTCACTTCATTCTGAAAGATGAACATATAGTTGTATATTTTATTAGATAGCAATGTGCCCTTCCTTTTTGAGAGATATTTTCAGTATAAAACATTTATTTACAGAATTACTAGAATTGGGCTGTTTTAAGTAGGTCGATTTTTCTAATTCAACTTCAACTTTAGTCTTTTTGCTCTCATTTTTTTAATGGAAAACAGTCCTAAAGATGTAATTTGGTAAATGTGTTGTTTATACCATCTATGTAGACTTGGTTTCTGTTACAGTAGCTGTAGAAGATCTACTGCAGTAATATTTAGTATTATTTATAATAACATTGAAGTAGTTTCTTGCTTAAGATGGGGCACTTATTTGTTACTTTGAACAAATAAGTGAATTTTTAAATTTTTTTGTCAGTGAAAAAGGAGTTAACTAGGTATGGTCATTACAGTTAAGAATTTAGTGATAGCTTAAGTAGTGTTTTTCAGGAGAGGTTGAATGAACTACATGCCAACAACAGATGTTTGTATTCTTAACCATAGGTCTTGGTATTATGTAGTTCAAATGCTTTACATGCTTTATTTTATTTAATCTCCCCCAAAGTTCATGAGGTAGACACTATCTCCAAAACAAAAAAAAAGAAATTAAGGTGAGTAACTTGACTGTGGTCACATAATCAATAGTGTCAAAGATTTAAATCCACAATTTTGAGTCTAACTCTAGAACCAGAGCTCTGTATAAACCACTACTGTTAATATATTTGCCACCTCATAGAAAGAGTGCAAGCTTTGCAGTGTGATTTGGTTTCAAACCTGGCTGTGCTGCTTTTTAGGTTGTGTTCTTGGATATTACTTGGAACTTTCACTTGCTTTCTTGTTTTAAAATTAAGATAGTACCTACAGTAAAAAGATTGTTGTGAAAATTAAAGGTAATGAGTAAAACTTAGCACAATGCTTGACTAATGGGGAGGTAATCGCTAACTACTATTAATAGTAACTACTATTAATACAAAAATTCTTTTAACTTTCTAGTTTTATGTAATTTCTGAAAAGTTCTAATAGTACATAGAACTCTATATACCCTTTATTTACCACATTTGTTTTCTCATAATTTTCCCCCATGGAAATATGTTGCAGATATGATGTTTCTTTATCCCTGGATGTTTAGATGCTAATATCTTAAGTATGTATTTATATTGATAAATGAATTCAATGGATTATAATGTGTTTTTGTCATTATTTAACAACCTTAAATTGTTATCTTGTATAAAATATACTATTACCATGGCATGGAATTTTTGTTTAAATTGCATTTACTGGATCTTCCACCTGAACAAAGTTGCCTAATTATCTACTGAAATATATCCATTGTAACTCCTCCCCTTTCATTTGTACGTAAAATCAGATCTCATTTGCCAAGAATCTTCAGTTTATCCTGTAGCCCTTTTCCTTTTTACCTTCCTTTTTTTTTTTTCTTTCTCTTTATGCCTAATCCTCTAGAACCAGCTTACTTTAACTAAACTTTTTAATTCAAAGCTGGCCTATTAAAGGACTGGCAATATAAGTATAAAAATTTGGACTATCTGGCCCTCCCTGGTGGCGCAGCGGGTTAAAGCACTGCACTGAGAATCTAAAGCCGCTTGCACATGAGTTCAATTCCCGCCTGCCCCGGAGGTGACCACATGGCGTGGCAGACCTCTCCTGACCCGCCCGCTGCTCCCCTCAGCAGTGTACTTCGTTGATCTGCCTGTTCTGCTCCCCACTCTGTCTCTGGTGAAGCCTCTCACCGCCCCTGAGCCTCTGGCCTGTACCCCAGTTCTGTATACAAAATAAATCTTAAAAAAAAAAAAAAAAAAATTTGGACTATCTGATAAGGTAGGAATATTTGCTAACTAACATTAAAATAGTTAATAAGTAGAACATTTACAGTTCAAGATCTTTTATTTTACTATTTCTTTGTTCAAAATAAATGCTTTATATATCCTATATGTAAAAATTTACTTTTCCCATAAAACAGTACATTTTAAAATACATACACAAAAATAGACCTCTATTGAAAAGAACTAGTATTTTTAATATTTACTCTGTAGCATTAAATGTGTAACTAATATTACTGTCTGTTTTTGAAAAAATAAGTGTCTGGGTTTGGTTCATAGTACAACTAAGAAAGTTGAAGTTCCGGTAAGCACATCAATGATTTATCATTTTAAAAGCATTATATATTATTTGGAGCTTATGTTTTGCCTCTGAGTATTTGACCCTTGAAATAACAACAATCTAGATTTCACTCAGCTTGACTCCAAATGATGGAATGAGATGGGAAAGTATGTCTAGATATACTTTGTGTGGTACTGGAAATCATGCATATTCAACAAGATAATAACATAATGTATGATGATAATATCCAGTCTCCAAGGAATACAAAGTGCTTTGTGGAAATTATTTTTTAATCTTCTCTATTTACTTCTGAGTCAAAGTGTATGGAAGATGGTGACAGTCCCAGTTTAAAAAACAGAGACATATGTATATTCAAAGATTGCCTCAGATTGCTCAGCTTAGGTTTGAATTCAGTTGTTTTATACAATACCATGATACTTATTTTAAACTATCTTGTAAAGTTATTTTGCAACAACCATATTTCAAATATATCCTGTTCTGTCACAGACATGCACTTTCGTCTGATTTTTTAAAACTGAAATCTTATGAATAACATAAAATTATACATTGAAAAATAATTAAAGCTAATGAAGTAAGGAAGTTGTTAATTTGACTTCTGGGTTTTTTTTTGGGGGGAGATCTAAACTTCTATATTTTATAAAATTGACAATCCTTATTTCCTTCTACTCTGATCTTGAGTGGTTGTTCTCTAACTGTTGTGGTGCAGGGATAACTTTTTAACTATTATCCTGAAATAAAAGACATGTTTTGATGGTCTTAAAATAAAAAGGACTCATATTCTGCACATTCTGTGACTTGCTTAAATTATTCAGTGTACAAACAGCATCCATTCAGATTAATAGAAATAATAAAGCTTATTTCTTAAATAACCAAATATTTCATAGTGTTATGTCGACATAATCTAAACTGGAAAGTTTCAGTTTCAGAATGGAGGGATTTAGTGTTTTTATGTTTCTTTTACTATTCTAAATAATGCTTCAATAAATACCCTTTTACATTACTTCTCGTACAATTTTATTTCTTCTTTGCCTTCTCAAATCTTGACATTTCAATTTTGATTCGTTTGTCATTTGCTTAGAGTAATCCTTCTAGCATTTTCCTCTAATAGTATAATTCCTAGATAAGTCAAGCTATTAGAGACCCCCTGGCTCAGCATTTTTTTCGTTTAGGAGCTGGGCTTCTACACCAGCTGGTAGACTGTTAGCTCTCTGCCTATAGGTCTCTTCCGCTCTATGTAGCAGTCCTTTCCTAGCTGCTGGGGTTGGGAGCAGTTCAGTCCATTGCTGCAGTCCCTATACATGTAGAGCCATATCCTCCACTGTCTGGGCTCCTTGGGATACAGTGAAAATCTGTGTTTGCACCAGGCTTGAAGAAATTCTAGCCTTCCCTGTCATCAGTTCCTTGTTACTTTCCTCACTGAGAGAGTGTAGCCCTGTAGCTCTCAGGGAAACTTGGGACCTCAGATGGAACTGCTTCAGTATGTCTACTTTAGTTCTTGGTTTCCTCCATGGGGAAAATTGGTCCCAAGATCAGGAATTTGTGCTCTGATCACCATCTTCCTAAACTCACTTCATTCTGCTCCTGATGCTTTTTTTTGTTTTAAATATTTCTCCTATTTTTAGAAGTACTCTGAAACATTTTGTTTCTATTACTTTTTATAATGACATTATGTAAAGCACTCCCCTGTGTGTTACATATTAAAATGGATATTGACCCTGCCCTCTAGGATTCTAATATCCAGAAAGATATAGTTGTTCAAAGTTAATAATACTAGTAATGATAGTTAAAGGATATTAACTAAGATTTGTTTAAATAAGGATATCAGAGTAGTCACATGGGAGAGGGATTCAAAGAGTAATTTTTCCCCATCTTTCTTTCTTTTTATTTTTTTAAAGATTCATTTTTATTTATGCATGTAAGAACTGGAGTATAGACCAGAGGTACAGGGGGTGAGAGGATACCCCAGAGACAGAATGGAGAGCAGAACAGATGGATCTACTGGAATACACTGCTGAAGAGAGCAGTGAGTGAGACAGGAGAGGGCTGTTCCATGTGGATTAGCTGCCTGGGTGGGGGGGTATCAAACTCATGCTCATGCCACAATGGCTACCCATATCTTGATAGCTCTGACTTTAACCCCTGCACCACCAGGAGGCCCCTCTCCATTTTCTAATCATGTAATAAGTCTGTGGCCATTGCCATCTGACTTGGAAGTCAAACAGTGTTGCATGTGTGTCCTAAAACCTACCTAGTTGGCTCACAAGTAGATTTGGGGACATATTTTTTTTTTACAAATTCAAAACTGTTTGTGTATTAATATTTTATGATATGTTACACCTTTGGTTCTATTTTTATTGTTGTAATTCCCTACTTCCTTCTCCATGGTTTTTCCTGATAAGGGCATGCTAATATAGCTAACCCCTTTTAAAACCATTTTAAGAAACTTTTTTAATGTATCTGTTAATGTCTTGTTTCATGTGTTACTTTAAAAAAACAACCCACAGAAAATGACTTACTGTGTGGTCCAAAAAACAAATCAGAAATACCAGTAAAGATAAGAGTGGTCATTCAGATAAAGGACATAGGATGGTGCCTTAGAAAGTGATTTTTTGCCCTTTTTTCTGCCTATGTTTTGCAAGATGATTTTACTCACTATAGTTTTCAGTTTACTTTTAAAGATATGATGGGTCCATGCAAGATTATCTCAAATGACAATTTAATTATCTTTTCTTTCCCCTGCCCCCTTACAGCATTGCTATGGCAACAAAAGAAAATATGACTTCACAAAGAGGAATGTTAAAGTCAATTCAAAGCAAAATGAACACTTTGGCCAGTATCCTTTGAAAGTTTAAAAATTTGTGTTGGGGGGTACTTTTTATTTTTCCATTCTTCTGTCAGGTTACAATCATCAGTTCCAGTAGAGAGCATTAGTAATTATATAACATGAATGTATCCTGACTTGTATTTCATATTATATATACAGTGTTGCTCTTTTTTTCCCCTTAAAGGTTGCATCATAAATTATATATATTTTTTCTTTTTCCAGTTTGGAGAGTATGTCAGTGGCAGGCACTTGGAAAGGGAAGGCACAGAGAGCCTTCTGCTGGTAGAATATTCTCCGTGACTCATTATATACAAATTGAACTATAGATTCTCTGCTTGTTGTTGTAACCTCTACCTTTTCAATTCTTCAGTTTCCCAATTTAAATCCAAGTTACTAGTACTTCCAGGAAACCCAGTGGACAGACTGCTACATCTGCTACTCTGAACATTTGTTTACTCTCTGAAAAGTCAAACCTATTAGGGAAAAAAGTTTCCTTCCCCAATTAATAGGTAAAAGAACCTGTGATTTTCAAAAGTTGATTATCTGCTCGTAGAGAATTCAAGGATATGTTTTAGTTTGATACCTTATTTGATGTATTGATATTTTCCAGGTTTTTTGATGAATTTTATCTTTTTATATTCAGTTATAAAACTACATATCTAAAATAGTTATATTTTACATGATTCTTTAGTTTGCAGAATTGTAGTATAATCATTCCAAAAGAATGTATTTAAAGAAATAAATAAAATGGGCCTAAATCAGTCAGAACTCCATAGAGTGAGTAGTAACAGAAACCTAATTCATTGTCTTAAAAGGGAAAAGGAGAGAATTTGTACAAATATCTGTAAAATTCAGGGGTAGAATATGGCAATATTCAGGAGCTCACATTTTATGATCAAAAATGTGCCTTTCTTCTCTCTGACAGTTCCATCTCATTCTGTTTTCCTGTGTTGATCTCATTCTCTAGAAGGCTTTTTTTAGTGATAGAGATGACTACACGTATCACTTCCTGCCATTTTAAAAATCCCCATGGAAGAAGGGTATCTTTTCCAATGGTGTAGTAAAAGTCTGAAGAGATCTGTGGTTGCCCCAACTTGAGTCACTGTCTAGTCCTCTCACTGGCCAAGAAGTGGGGGGATTGTTTCTGACTCATCCTGCATTGGCATGTATCAACCTGATGGCAGAGAAGAAGGTAAACTCTGCTCTATGATATGGGCTGAACTAAGAACTAGACCATTATGGAAAGGAAAGGAGAGGTAGTCCCCTAGAGATGAACTGGACAGAAACATGTCTGCTGTAGAAAGGGTTTCCTAATGCTGAAGTTCTCACACTCTTCCAAGGGGGATTGTTGATCTTTTACTAAGTGAGAAAGGTTACACATTTACTTTTATGAGATTTGTACCTTACAAAATTCTTGCTCCATGTTTCCTGTATTTTCAAGTTGTCTCTGCATATTATTTTTTTCATTAATAATTGAAAAACACATCAATGTCTATAGTGTGTAAAGCTCTATTCTACATGCACAGTGAAGTTTTTTCAAGATGCAAAGAAGACATGGTCCTAGTCACACAGTATGCAGATTATATAAGTATACAAATAAATACAGTCCCTGCTGAAAGACACTTCATTACAGGAAAATGGAGTGAGAATTTACAGGGAATAGGAACAGTTCTCTGGTATCCCAGGTGATTTTTTTGGTAACTTCTCTGACCTTGATATAATACCTCTCATAACAAGGAGGCAGCTCCAGCGTGTCTGTAAGTCAGAAACCATTAGTAGAAATGCAGAACAGTACAGGATACTGAGGTATGTGCTTTGGTCTACAACATATAAAGAAGTAAAAGTGTGGAGATAAATTTTAACTACTAAACAAAGATACAGTTGTGACTATCAAACCCCTAAATTTAAAAATCTGCTTTTTTATTTTTTTAATAACTAAGGAACATTTATTTTCCACTAAGACTTTACCTTGAGGATATAACTGAAGTGTTATCTCTTCACTACTTACCCCCTTGGAGAGGTACAGTAAATATTATTAAAGCAGGTAAGAAGTTGGAAGGATTGGAACCAATATTAACTGACAATGAACAGCCTCTATCTAAAACATCATAAAAATGTTTTAAGTTAAAAAAAAAAAAGGGTGAGGGGGTGCAGAAGGCAAGGGTTTCAGGTTAAACAAATAGAAACAGGGTTACTATAATAAAAAAATTCCACTACAGCACACTGTACATACCTGTGTTCCAAGTCCTTCCCACCCAGCTAATTCTTCCGGCTCAACTGTTTCTCAGCCCATTGGGCCTGCTAATGAAGAAGTGTGTAGATCTTGTCTTTAATCCAGTCTTGGTAATAACACTGGTATGTGTGGGTATCCGCTCAGCAAACAAGGCAGCTGAGGTCAGCCAGATCATAGTAGCATCAGATAACTGAAATCTTATGTGATAGAAGGGAGGCTGTTAGGATTCATCCTTTTCAGATGTTCTTTATGCATTTTACAAACACCTCCCATACAGTCATTCACAAATCCATAGTCAGCACAAGTCCTGCCTTCTGCTCTCTCAGTAGGCTGTACCAGCAAAATGCTGTGAGACATGGCACCAAACTCTTTTCCTGCAATATAGCTCTTTTTTAATGTTCCCCTAAATAAGACAACAAGATCATTTGACTAACTTTCCTTCCATATTCTATATACTATTGCAAAATAAAAATGTTTAAATAACTCACCAGTGCCTTCTGCACCCCCCACCCTTTTTTTTTTTTTTTTTTTAACAGATCATACGAGATGTCGAGCAGTGACTGGAGTTCAGACGTGTGCTCTTCCGATC